CGCACCCCGTCGCGGCGGCGTGGGGCCCGGCTGCCCGCGGCCTCTCTGCGCAGGCATGGCGGGCCGCACGGTGCGGGTGGGGGGCCTCCCCGCCGACCTGCCTCCCGACAGGGTGGCCGACAAGCTGACCATCCACTTCCTGCGCTCCCGCAACGGCGGCGGCGAGATCGCCGACGTCCAGGTGCTGGCCGGCTCCCAGGCCTGCGCCCTCATCACCTTCGAGGCGCTGGAAGGTAACGGCCGCGAAGGGCCGCGCCTGCCGCCGCGGCTGGGCACGGCCCGTGGGCTCTGCCCGCTCCCGAGCACCCTGCCCCGGCCTCCCCTGCCCTCCTGCCCCGTGTCCCCGCATGCTCAGGGCAGGGTCGGAGCTGCTGCTCCCCAGCACGGGGCTGGGCTGGCGCGGGTGCCTGATGGCTTTTCCCACCCAGTGGCCCAGAGGATCCTGAAGGCGAAGAATCACGTCCTGTCGATCGGAGGGAAGAAGTACCCGCTGGAAGTGACGGCGCATGTTGCGGAGCTGAGCCCCGATGAGGTAGCAAGGAGCAGACGGCTCCTGCCCGTGTGGCCGTGACAGCCCCAGCTGGCTCCCAGACCGGCTCTGTGCCTGGCAGACACGCTCGGGAAGGGAGACTTCACTCTCTCCTTTAATCTTAATTAGACTTAAAGCAAATCCACTTTTATTCATATTCAAATGAGGAATTATTTTTTTTTTTATGTGCTAATAGCACAGGGACCGCCAGGCAGGCTGTGCACTTGGTTGTTTGGTGTTTGTGCCTGTCAAAGCAAGGAAGAATAGTCAGACTGGAGGGAAGGGGCACTTTTCCCCAGCCCATCTGGTGACACACAGGGGATCCTGTTAATGCCTCTGCCGTGTCATTAGCTGGACACCGTGTCATTAGCTGGACACGCTTCTTCTCAGGAGAGCTTAGGAGACTGACATGCTGGTGTCTAGGAGGCACCGGAGAGTTCTTGCCTCTTCCTCCAGTTTGCGGTAGCCATGTCTCACGTTTTCCTGTCTGAGCACTGAAAACAAGGGCATGGGAGTTAGCCTGGCATTGCAGACCTTTCTGCAAGCCTGCAGTGCCAGACTGCTTGAAGGTCTGCAGCTGAAGCTCTGGGAGAGTAAGAGGGCAACTGCATTTCAGGTGCAGAAGGGCTAGTGTGGATTTTTTTGGGTTTGGGTTGTTTGCAGAGCTCCCAGGGTGTAGAAGTGGGGCTGCATTTCTGTGCAATTTGCCCCTTGCATTCCTTGTTTGCAGAAAGCTTTTGACTTATGTGTACAAGGTCCAAGAGTTGCTTGGGCTGGCTGGGTCTTTCAGTCCTGCCTGTGTTATGCTCCCATCTCATTTGAAAGCAGGATGCTGAGAGAGAGAGGTGGCAGGTCATGTTGTCTCTTCTGTCATAATAATGCAGGGGCTGTGGCATCAGGTGCATTTGCCGCCCCTGTGCCTTGGAAGGGGGTTTATCTCTTGCTGTCTACTTGCAGATCTTCATACGTGCTTGCATGATAGTTGACTATGGCAAGCTTCCTGCTGGCAAAACCCTCCTGAGGAACTTGCATAAAAGCTACAGTAATGTGCAGTTCGACTTCGACTCCAAGAACACACACTGCATAGTCAAGGGACAATTCACTGACCTGCAGGCCTTCAGCAGAGACCTGCTGGGCAGCCTGAACCTCAAGAGCCAAGCCGTTGGAGAGATCCTCCTTCCAGATTCCAGCCATGTGGCCAAAGAGTCCAGAAGGCACGATCATCAGCAAGTGCCTGACTCCACTAAGTCAGCACGAGAGACAGCAAAGCTGCCAAATTGGGACCAGGTGTGTGAAAAGGCAGTTAAAGTCCCATCACCTCAGGACCCAGTGGATGGGGAAGCTGTGGAACAGCTGGAGGACTTTTCCCTAGTGATGGACTCAGACATTTACTTGTACTTGCAGCGGTTCTGTGCTGCTGAGTACCAAGGTGTGCTACGCCAGCATTGTGTGGATGTGGTAGATGTTAGCAGCGATGGCATCGTCATACTGTACCTCCAACCATCTGCAGGTATGCCTGGGGACATGGACGCCTTGCAACAGGCCCGCCTGGCCCTGCAGCAGCTTTACCAGCAGCTGGAGGTGAGCTTGCGCAAGGAAAAGATCACCAAGGGAGGACTGGATATGGACAGCCAGACACTCAGGGCTCTGACACGTGAGCTGCAGAAACTGTATCCCCAGTTGCTCTGCCATGAGGATGAGAAGCAGCTTTATCTTATTGGAAACCTCGTTGATGTGTCCCAGGCCAAGCAGTACCTTCAGGATTTCAGCACCAGAAGAGGTGCCACACACACTGTTGACATGCTCAGCAGGTCCCTGCCCTCACACCCAGCAACCTCCTGCACCACCGAGGCTGCACTGCACAAGCCCAAAGCACCTGTAGACACCTCAACCTCAAGGCTCAGCCCAGGCAGGCCAGAGCTGAAGGGTGAGCTCAAGCTAGCTGCCAGCTTCAGCCCGCTGAAAGCTGACAGGTCTCAGGCCAGCTGGGGCCTCTTGCTGAATCAGGACTCTCCACCTGTAGGACAGGCGCAGCTTTCTGGAAAACACTTACCAGAGACAGATGCTCTAGGTCCAAGTGACCCAACAGCACTGACCCAGCAGTACCAGCCTTATGTCTCTACAACAGATGTGGTTTTGGGGTCAGCAGCAGAGTCTAGGCAGAAGGATCCCAAAGAATGGGACCATGTGAAAGGAGGTGTCAGGCTTACAAGACACAAGACTCTGTCTCCCTTTGGGGACAAAGAAAACAGCACTTTGCAGCATCCTGGGGACTCTAAAGGCTCAGGTCCCATCAAGCACCACCCCCTCGCTAGCACGTCTAGTACCTTTGACACGACAAGGACCTCTTCTGCTTTAGACCCTAAACCCTCTGAATCTAGGCCTCTGCTGCGACGTTCCAACAGCTTCTCCCTGCCAAGGTCAAAGGAAAGTGACAAGTCCCAAGACACTGGCAGGGCAGACAGTGAAGGCAGTAGGGTGAGTGAAGAAATGAGCCTGGACTCTCTGCAGTGGTCTTACCTGAAAGACGTTTGCCATGCTGCTATTGATGAACTGTGCAAGCATGGAGGTGTGCAGATCTCAGAGCATCGTACTGGGGACTGCACTGTGCTGACACTACAGGCAGCGGAGAGGAGCAAGCTTTTCCAGGCTAAATGGAAGGTGGAAGCTCTTGTGCAGAAGTGTCCTGACCTGGTGTGTCAGAGTATGAGCTACTCGGAGCTCGCTGTAGATGGTCCAGATGACAGTGCCCTGAGTGAACTGTGCAGCCTCTTGCGAGGAAACTCCCCTCAGGTTGGACTCAGCAAAGACAAGTACAAGCTCTATCTTGCCTGCCCCAAGGAGATGCTGCCAGGAGTGACTGAGGCCTTCCACGTGTTTTCTTCCAGGAGGCTCCATGCCCTGAAGTCTTCATCCTTGTCTCCAGGACCAGAGAGTACAGGGCCCTCAAGTGTCATCCAGCCAAGCAGAAGCCAGGACACGGTGCTGGGTGCAGCCCTTCCTGGCAGCCTGGCATCCCTGCAGCACCTGAACATAAGTGATAAAGCAGACCACACAGATGTGCTCAGGGCTTTCCGGCTGCCAGAGGCTGAGGAAAAGAGGTCCCCCAGTCCTTGGAGGTTCCAGCAGGCACTGGGGCAGGAGGAGGCCAATGACCATGTTGATTCTGGGGCTGTGCAAGGAGGAAGCTGCCTTCTGAGCCCCAGTGTAGCGGATAAGCCAAGTCCTGCCGGTCTGAGGGAGTCCCAGGAGCAGCCGAAGACAAAACTGTCTGGGGGGGAGCCTGACATTGCACGGCTAAAGCAGGTTTTGCCAGACAGATTCCAGTTTGCAAGAGACAAGAACAAAGGAGGCCAGAATGAAGCGATGGGACAGCTGCGCTCAGCAGCTCCTGCAGCAGACGGTGCTCCTCGTTCCCTGCCCACCTGGCTGTACAGGGCTATGGCTGCTGACCCACCTGAGGCTGCAGCCAAACAGTCGCCTGCAGCAGAGCACAGGGGCCAGGAAAGGGCCCTGCTCTCAACCGGCAGGAGCAATGTGCAGGAGGAGCCTGACCTCTCGTCACAGCAGACAAGAGGCCCCAGCCTTGGACAGGAAAGTGGCAAGACCCCTCTGGGCCAGTGTGATGCTTGCCAGGGCTCAGGTGTGACCTGCCAGGCTCCCTGCGGTCATGCCTTGTGCAGGACATGTTTTGCAGCAGACAGTACACAGCCAGCTTGCTGCAGCTCCTCCTTGGTTTCCCCGAGCCGCAAGATCTCAGGGACATTCAAGATCTCCTCCCTGTCTCAGAGTCTGCCTGGCTACTATCGAGACCTAACGCTCCAGATTGCCTACAACATCCCTGATGGCTTGCAAGGGGTAGGTACCCACCACGGGGGCTTCCCCATCCCACTGCAGGACATGCAATGGGTTCTGTCAGTGTGGCTGAGGTTCGGGGGGAGTGTGTGTTTGGGGCGGCAGGGGAGAGGGCAGTTACAGTTCCATGGCCCACATGCAAAGCAGCAGAGGTATCGACTCGTGGAATGCAAAAAGCTCCACACCAAGTCTGGGAGCAGCTCGCTGCTTTTGAAGAGTATGTGACCTCCTGTTTTAGTTCAAAGTGACTAGCAGCCCATGGGGGCCACAGTTGTCTGTGTATGTTCAAGCTGGACAGAATCTCAGAAGCCAACTCTGAGGCACAGGACTTGGGTGGTTGTTTAAAATAAAATGCTTTCTCCCTGTTCTAAGGTTGGTGACCCCCGCCCAGGACAGCCTTACAAAGGGGGGGATTTCTATGCCTTCCTGCCTGACAACAGGGAAGGGCAGAAGACAGCAATGCTGCTGAGGAAAGCATTTGAGCATGGGCTGACATTCCAGATCAAGTCCTGCAATGGGGAGGAAAGAGTGACATGGGGCCTTATCCCACACAAAACCTCCTGGGATGGAGGCAAAGCCAGGTATGGCCCAGCTCATCCCGCGCTCCCAGGTGTGGAGGTTTTTTTTTTAGCAGTCAGAGGAGGAGAACCATGGGCTCCAGTTCAACATATCCTGGCATGGGTGGTTCTTCCAGGCTCCCACAATGGCAGAGTTGGTGCCTCCCTTTGCTTCAGCTTGCAGGGCAGCTGTGGTATGGCAGGCCAGTCCTGGCAGACTCCAGCTGGAGGTAAAGCCCTTGCCCATCCCACACCCATAAGTTCCCCATGGACAAGAATTCTGGGCCCTGTTCACTTACAGCTTTCCTAGCTTTTCCTGTGACAGCATTCTGCAGCCAGTGCTGGGTGCAAGCTGTGCCTGGGGACAGCAGCAGCTCCCAGGGAGCAGGACTTGCACCCTTGGCCCCTGTTGAAGGGATGGGGCAAAAATAAACTGCTGCTCCCCTCAGTGGTTTTAGTACCATCAGAAGGATTTACACCACTTCCCTCTCTGCCCCACAGGAATGGCTATCCAGATGCCCAGTATCTCCGTGAGGTTTGCACAGTACTGAAGAAACTGGGCATTGCGTAAGACTCCGTGCCTGAGCGGCCACAGCCCATACCTTTGCTTCCCCTTCCTTTCCAGCTGACAAAACTGCAGCTTAACACAGCCAGTTCAGGAAAAAGCAGGTGTTTGTCCAAGGAGCTCCTGTGTCCCCAGAGGTAGCCAGAAATCTGCTCATTAGTGACAGCAGCACCTCCACCCCTGCCCCCCACAAGCCTCAGCATGGAGCAGAGCTTCCCTGAAACTCCAGCTCCTCCTGGCTGTGTGCTCTCACCAGCCAGTTACGCAGCTTGTTTCAAAAACAGCTCCTGGCTGAGCCCTGGCATGGCTTTCAGCAGCATAACCCAAACCTGGGCGGGAGCCTCCATGTAGTCCAGCCCCAGCTTCTGGAAGCCTCTTGCACCTCTGGCCGCTACAGGCAGGTTCCAGCTCAGCCACCACCAGAGCCTTTGCCAGAGCCGAGCTGTCTAATTTCAGCTGTTCGGTCACACATTTCAGTCCTTGAGCAGACAGCCCTGAGCTACAGCCCCTCCCCACCACCTGCTCTGGAGCCAGCAGGCAACCCAATGCTCTCTTGGGGAGAGCATTAACAGCTTTCAGCGTCCAGGACAGCTGCCTCCCATGAGAATATACAGGCATGGACGCAGTCTCTAAGCAGAGAAACACAAATAAAATTTATCCTGCATTTTTAGTAGTGGTTGTTCACGCCTTGTCTTACCATCACCCCAGGCCCCCATTTCAATCCCAACTGGCTACAGAGACACCCGGACAGAGAGTAAAGTGCAGAAGACAGCTAAGGGTTTTGCAAACAAAATCACCATAGCTGCCCTGCAGAACAGGGGAACAACTGAGGCAACAATTAACAGTTGTACTTGAGAGCAGAAGCATCTTCTCACCCTGGGAAAGTTAGAATTTATAAACTGAATGCGTCCACCTGCTGACTGCCTGGAGAAGCAATAAAAGTGCCCCAGAGGCTGAGCTGGGAGCAGAGCGTTCATTCTAACAGATGATTGAGCAGCACACCACTGAGGGTTTTGTTATGCTTTTAATTAACATTTGAAACACATAAGGCATATGGTAACATTAGACAGAGGAGCATTACACATCATAGTCATGTAAACAGCATTGGCACACTTGCTTTCTGTCCAGCTTGGTTACATGCACAAAGCAGAATATATTTTTTAAACAAAGATTTTCTGTGTGTCTGTAGGATGAGTATCACTCATGTCACATACCTGTAAATCAACAACTCAGACAGTACAGACCAGACCATATGTTGTAAGAGGCTCAGTCTAATGCATTTCACATCACGCTCATGTACTACTTGCCAGTCACGCTTTGCCAGCACCAGGGCTTAGCACACTAGAGACTTCATTAGGCAACAAGAGTGGTTTTACACCTATGACAGCAGCTGTAAGTGGGCCAGGATCCTGCACTGATTAAAGCCTGAGGCCCCCAATGCTTCTTACTTCTCCCTGGTCAATCAATTCTAGTTTAATACAGGCGTCCGAAATAAAATGTACAGCTAAACTCCTTCCCCTGTCTCAAAGTACTTGGCAGGGGCCATGCTCCTCTGCACAAGCCAAGGCTGCTTCCACTCCCTCCTCCTTCTGCAGTTAGCGTGCAACACAAGTGAGCTTGAGAGAAACCAAAGAGAAAAACATGACAAAAGCTGCCTGGCAATAGCAAAGGAGTTGCGTTTTGTCCAAGACCAGCAGTACCAGCCTGGGAAGGCGACTGCAGTAATGACACAGGAGTGGCACTCGCACAGGCACCCCTGTGCTGAGCAGCCCTCCCACGGCAGCAGGCAGGGCCAGGGATGCCTCTCCTCTGCTCATGAACTCCTTACTCACGTTTTCCACTTGGACTCCTCACGGCACAACCTTTGGGTCAGACAATCACTAAAATAAACATTAAACTGCACTTCTGATAGCTGGAATGGCACATGCAATTTAAGCACAGGAATCTCCCATTTCCTCAATAGCATGACTTCGCCCTGAACAGTTAAGCAACATTGAGTGCAATGATTTTTATCCTAGGGTTTTTGTTTGTTTTTTTGCTTTGGTCCTTAGTATACAAACCTGCTGGTTAACTTTGAGTTAAGACACTTGAAGTTGTTTTACATAGGTTCTATACTTATTGGCCCATAAAATGTTTGTCCATAAAAAAAAAAAAAAAGAGTATAAAAACAAAACCAAAAAACAATGAACCACAACCACCTGGAGCAGAGCATTGATCAGTGAGGCAGTAGAAAGCAAGATTACATTTAATCTTGGTCTTTCTCTAAAAAACATTGTTGCTACCAAGGGACATAAAACGGTCAGTGCTAAACTCTACAGATAGTAACTGCTTAGCACTCCTGCCCTGATAAGGGCTTCAAGAATTTGTAGGTAAAAGATACATGAGCAGCTACCCAAAGAGAGTCGGGAGCTGGGATTGTTTCCAGAGAGCCAAGGCTGGGGCAGCAGATAAAGCCTCACTCAGGGTCTGGCTGGAGCCAAACAGCTGCCCTGGGGGAGACAAGGGCTTTACAATAGCTCTTCTGGACTGGGGAGCACAGAATCACCAGGACAGCCCTGGAAAGGCTGTAATACATGGAAAGGGAGCATCTTATTCACAGTAAGTCAGACTACATCACCAGTGTTCAAAAACAGAGCTAGCAAGACAGGTTTTTGGCAACACTTTGAAAGGCCAGAATGGAAAAGGCTCCAGTGACTTCCTAGTCCTTACAGGCATGTAGAAGAAGGCACTGAGATACTGTTTTCTCTGGCATACGACAAGGCAGCATGTCAGAGGTGTCCTACGGGAAGCTGCAAGACTCCCACTTTCCTCCTTCACACTGCATTGGGAGGGACAGACTGCAAGACCCTCGCTACGCTGCCTGATCCAAGGCCATCCAAGTAAGGCACTGAGCATGCGCTTAGCCGAGAGTAAAGCAAGGAGAGGATGTTACTGTGAAACACAATTTGATAGTTTTCCCCTTTACAAGTGTGCAGAACTTGAAGATGTGTGGGGTTATGTGACATTTGAGCATGCTGCTCTTGCACCAAGGTAAAGTCCCGTTTCTTGAAGGAACAGGTCCAGACTTCCCATTTCAGCAATTTACACAGTCCTTCTGTTGTCAGACCTGGTAAAGCAGCATTAGAGACTGTTGGATTTAATCTAAATTAGCATGACAGGGCAGGCTGAAAAGAGAAGCAGCAAGATTTTGGATTCAGAAAGGTTAAAAGTTGTGCTTGTGAGTTTCGTCAGACCATGTTTATGAAGTTCACTTATCAAGTGCAAGAGACAGACTGACAAGGATCTGTGACAAGGCTCCAGCCCTCCTCTGAGGTTGTAGGGAACAGGGTTGTTTTAATACTTAAAGTTAGCCAGAGCAAGTCCCCTGGAGGCTGTGGCCACACGTTTCTAAAGAACTAGGGTCTGAGCCCAAGCACCTGAAATACAAGCTGCACTGATAGATAGGAGCCCCGCTGGAGGATAGAGCTGGCCAAGGAAGAAGCCACACTCCTCACCTGCACAGGAACCCCCAGCCCTGTGCCATGCTTGGCTGCTCTCGAGTGGCAGAGGGGCTTCGCACACAGGGGCCTTCGCCCAGCAGGCGCCTTCCCTCCTCAGGGTTTGGTTAAGCAAGGCTTTGCTCCCGGAGCCTGAGCTCTTCCACAATGGGCAGCTCTTCTTGGTGCCCTCAGGTTTACCTTTTCAAATGCAAAATGAAGCCTAAAAGCCTGCAGCACCTACAATCCATGGCAAAGCCTCAAAGCAAGCACAAACAGCACCACAGTCACTCAGGGCTGAAAACAGGGTCCAGCAGGAAGGTGGACACCACTCATTAAGTGCTCACAGAACTAGGCTTAGGTCTCTGCACAGGTCCGTTTTCAAGTGCACAGAAAAAAGAAAAGAGGAAGAGAAACTGAGTTCTGGTCTGGGAGGAGCACCCCAGGCAGCTCTTAAACCCCCGGTGCTGGAAGAGAGCCCAAGGGTCCCAAGACTTGCAGTTTCAGGGGAGGAAGAGCCAAGTCCTACTGCAGCACTGAACCACGAGCTGAGAGCTGGTTTGAGTGGATATCTAATGAGCTAGCTAGAAGAGAATGGAAAGCACAATTTAAACTGCTCACAATGCCCAGGACAAGAGGCTTGACCCAGAGCTGGGCAGTTTACTGTCTACACTGGTAACTTGGCAATAGCTTTACTGAATGGCGTGCCACAGAAAGAGCCAGCCCAGGCTCCTGGGAAGCAGGCTTACAGGACTGGTTCTTGCAAGTTACTTCCCAAACTGCAACACCTCCCCAGTGCACAGGGCACAGCGCAAAGCAAGCATTAACCAGAGCTTATTTTGTTCCCATTTTGTTGAAGTCCGATTTAACACTGCAGCCCTTGGAAATACAAACACGAGGGTGAAGTTTAGCCTTAATACCAACTTGGAGCCCAACATTAATAAAGCACAGAGCCAACATCAATTGTTCCAGTCATTTGAGACACAGTTGAGTCCTTATGGTCTCTAAAAATCAGACACAGTTTAGATCTCCCTATACAGTTTGGAATCAGAAAATAGACAAGATCAAGTTACCTAACTGAAATTTTTTCTTCTGTATTCAAACACAGATCAGCCCAGCCCAGCCTGTCAGGTTATTTGCCGACTGCACAGAGAAGCGACTGCAAATTAAGTGCAATATGCCATAGACTCCAAAATGCCAGGACGGTTATTTACAAGGCAAAGGCAACATGGCCTGTTGCTATCTGACTGGTGTTAGCAGCCTACGGAAGCAGAGGGGAAAGAATGGGGTTACTGTAAACAGAAGAGTAGCCCGTGCTAGAATTAAACTAGGCCAGCCATGCTTTTCCTCTGGCTGTTGAGGAAACATCCTAAGTTTAACCCATTCTCCTGCTGAACAAGCTTCTCAAAGGTGACAGTGCAAATGCTTCAGCAGGGCCCAGTTTCTGTGGAGATACTTGGCAGTTGCTACAGTATGTTACATCTTGACTTTACAGTGACAGGCTATGCAGTTGTTAACTGCCTGGAAGCTTCAGCTGCACTGCTGGAGAAAAATAATGTTAGTTTGGAAATTCAGTAGAGAAGCAAGTGATTAGAAAAAATGTACGAAATAAACAGGCTTCAAAACAGAGAGCTAGGGCAGGAGGCATATCTGGCAAAGGGTCAGTCACAACAAGAGCATGCAAACCTCATCTGAACTTTAACCACAATGTTCTTGTACTGGTGAAGACGGAAGCTACTGATCTGTCCATTTCCAGGTCCCAAAGAGATCAGGGAGTTAAACCATGAATTCACAATCTGCACACATTTTTTCTCCTTAGTTCTCTTCTTTTTTGGATTCTTCCTTGGGTGCTTCAGGAACCAGGATGACTTTTCCAACATTCTTCTTCTCTTGCATCTGCCTCATGGCATCTGCCACCTGGAAGCAACAGGAATCTTGTGAAACGCACACCCACCCTGCAGTGCAGTCATGCCCTTCGTGGGTCCCTTGGTCCACCCAGACTAGTTGGAGGGCCACCCAGGAGGCAGCTTTCCCGGCAGTCCAAGCAAGAGCCAAGCATTCAGGTGCCTCTGCACAGACATGCTTTGGACAGAGTTGGGCAGCTACCCCAGCCTGCCCATAGGAAACCATCCTCAAGAATTCAGACAGACCAACTGTAACATACACAAGGATGTTCTGCTACGTGAACTGTGGAAGACTGAAGTGCGTGCCACCACACCTTCCTTTCCAAACAGAGGGGAGCACTGCAGAAACCCAGCTAACAGCCGGAAGGACAATGCTTCTACCATGTACACAGCCACAGAACAATACATGCACAGATTTTTATTATTATTTTTAAGTAAAACAGCACCTGGGCCAGGCTGGAATCAACAGAGTTTTCCTTAAGCATTTGCATCAGACTCGTTCTCAGGTATTAACACCAACTGATCATTACCAAGTCCTTTGCTCCCCTGCAGTAAGTCCTACCCCAGCAAAGGATTTTCAGGGCAAGAACCTGACTCAGCCTGGACACATCAATGCAACAACACTGAGCACAGCAGAGCTGCTGAAAAGCCTGCCGCTCCCTTCCAACATCCTCATTCTGCTTCACTGCCTGGGCTCTTTTTCACTCATGGAAGGGCAGCAGCAACCTTCCCAGCTCTCTGCTTAATTACAGGGTGCAGATGCAGGGCAGACTCCAGTCTGATGCATAACCCAGCCCCTCCATGGGCTGCTGCTGCTGCCCACAAAGCACAGCTGAGCACCTGCCCTATTCCACAGGGATGCTGTCTGGCATTGCGCAGCTCTGTGCACTGGAGCAGAAGAGCCCAGCCACTTTACTCCCCTTTATTAACTTAAAAGGAAAAAGGCACTGAATATCTGAGAACAGACGGTTATTAAACATCTGCAACAGCTCAGCTCCCCTGAACAAGGTGCTCACACTGAACCAGAGCTCACTGTGCAGGAAACAATCACCCAGTAACTTCTGCGTGCTGCCAGCCTACATGTTAGCTCAGACTCACCTGATCAAAGGGCCATACAGAGTCTATTTTGGGCTTGATTTTTCCTTGACTGTACAGGTTAACCAGCTTGGCTACAACACCTCCGACAAGCTCAAATTCTTCATCCATATATCCAAGGTGGTAGCCACACACAGCCTTGTTATGGTGTAGGAGCTGCAAGGCATTGATGCTGAACTGGTTCCACCAGGTTTTAGCCATAGCCATGAGGTTCTTCTTCTGTCCAGTGAGAAGGTTTGCTACCCCTAAAAAGAAGGCAAGCCACAGGTGAGCTGGAATCAACACAACACGAGAGGCAGTAGGCATCCCATGTAACAGCTCAGACAATACGCAGGGTAACAGCCGCTCACACAGTGATGGAGGACAGAGGTAAGAACGGGATCACATCAGGATCTGCCCAGCCAACCTTCAATGGAAACAAGTACCTGCCTCAGCCTCAAGATACGCAGAATTTGGATTATCAGCACCCATATATTGCAAAAGTATAGAACAACTCCTCTTTTAGGAGGGCAGCAGCAGCACAGCTAGACTGGAGTGCAGGCAGAGGCAAGAGAGGGTTACAAGTCACATCCAGCCAGGCTGGCAGGACAGCACTCCCCTTCTCCTATAGCCAGGCTTCTTCAGGGGAGCCACATGCTGCAATGGCTGGGACAACAGAAGCAGCACACTGGTGCAAGTATCTGGAATCCCACTGGGGGCTGTGTGAGGGCTTTGTCTACGAGACAAAAATCACAGTGTTTCAGGGCTGGGGAATGGAGAGATAAGTATTCAGTAGCCTCAAACCTCATCACCCACACATCCTCTAGAAGAAAAGCAAGGCTCTATTAGTGCTGTGCATTAAGCCAGCCCAGACAAAGCAGCTGTGCCAGTGTTCCTCCGTGCGGACATTCCAGCTTCCCCTGCAGGCACCGGCTTGTACTCCAGGAGATCTCACCACAGGAGGGAAAAGCCTTGGAGCCTGTGACCAGAGCTCTTGGGACAAGGCACAAATCTCACTCCCCTCAGTGCCTCACCCAGTCGAAGCATCCTAAAGACCTTCATGAAATAACAGAACTACAACACACACAGCAGTCAGCAGCAGCGATGCTCCCTCACGGCTGTGCATCCAGGCACGGAGCAGCGTGCAGCATTCCCGCGCAGATCCACACCCACCCTGCCATTGCACAGTCCCTCCTACGCCGGAGCTGGCGTTTGGGCGCACTGCTCACACTTACCGTAAGTGATGAGTTTGCCCATTGGCTTCAACAGGTTAAATGCTTTGGATGTATCAGATCCTCCCAGGGGGTCCAGAACAATGTCAACACCTAGAGGGAATTGAAAGTAACTAGAAGTTTCCTTGCACTTGAAAGAAATGCAGGACAGTTGTAGAAGTCCTTCACCACACAGTACCTTTGGGAGAGATTTTCCGGACCTCCTCTGCGTAATCCATCGTTCTGTAGTCAATGGGGTAAGCAACTCCGCTCTCCTTGAGTGAATCATGCTTGGAGGCAGATGCTGTGCCAAAAATGGTGACGTTTTCTACAGTCTTGCACAGCTGGATGGCAGCAGTTCCCACACCACCTGAAAACCAGCAGTGAGAAAGACTTAGAAGCAGACAGCCCCAGCAGTCAGGAAAGCCTCTGGATAGGTAAATTATCCCTGCTTGTACCGATCACACAGCACCAGGAGGGTTTGGAATAAAGGTTTTGCCTGGGGCAGGCTGATGCCTGTAATGTGCTAGGGGAGACCAACCCTGGCTGCTGAGAAATGGGTTCAGTATTTGCCAGCGCTTGGGTCAGCGCGAAGGCTGCATCTCTGGCAGGCAATGTTTTGTCAGTCCAGCCCCGTTCTGATCGCTTCCTTACCCATGCCACCCATTCAGAAGCTGCACGCTGAGGCCAAGAGTCTCAGCATGGGCTGGCAAGAACTATTTACCTGCAGCCATGTGGATGAGGACACTCTGGTTGGGTCTCAGGTTTCCAAAGTCAAACAGAATCATGTAGGCAGTGATGTAGTTGACAAGAAGAGCAGCTGCTTCCTCAAAGCTCATCCCCTCAGGCATCAGGAAAGTCTGACTGGCTGGCACGTTCACGACTTCTTGCCAGAGCCCTGACCTAGCCAGGACCATTACCTTGTCACCAACCTAAAATCAAATAGAGGACAAGGCGGTCTGAAACAAGCCCCAGGCTAGCAGAAGTCATCACACCCTTGTCCTCTGTATGCCAGAACCCGGTACATGTGTGCCGTTCTCTGTGCAGAGTCTGCAGGGACTGCAGCACCCCTGGGCTTGGGCGGGAGCCTGCGGCCTGTGCTCCACTTGTCAGGCAAACCGCACAACAGCACCTCTCACCACAGAGCTGGGCACAGGCCATGAGCCTCCGAGGGACGGCAGGCGCCCCAGGCTCTGGCTTGCACCCAGCGTGCTGCCTGACTGCCAGCCGCCCAAACCAATGGACCCCCAACGAGGTAAGAGGGATGGGGGCCGTGTCCTGCCCTCCCTGCCCAAGCTGGGAGACGGAGTCTGAACACCGTGAAATATTACCGCTGCCCCTTGTAAGGATCATTCTGCCAACAGGCAGGAGGCTTGGGGCAATGCTTAATAGGATCAGCCCCAGAAAAAGCTTAGGAAAACCTCCCAGGTCTAAGCGTCAGGCCTGAAGTCTGAGGCATCCCCCAAAATCTGCTCTTATCCCACTGGGCAAGAAACATCTGCTCGCTATGCAACGGGAAAGAGACGGCAAAACACCAAGTGGTTGTATCAGCAAGCAGAGATGAGGCAGAGCCAAGGCAGCGAGCAAAAAGGCTCCTCAGTGTGTGGGTTCAGCATTTACACTTAAGCAAATCAAGATGTTTTCCTGGAGCGGAGGGAATCATCTTTGACACACTGGGGTTTTTTTGAGACACTGTGTTTTGCTAGTTGCACACCCAAGAATCATCTTAAAGCACCATAACTGCAACAGCCCTGAGGTCCAAAGGTCTAGGACATGCGGAGAGCCAACTCCTCTGTCCCCCGAGTTGCTAGAAACGCAGCAGCCGCACGCTGGTGGGCCACAAACCCAGCACCAAGAGCAACTAACCAGCTCGTGCCCACACCTCACCACCCTCACTCAGACGGCTCCGGACAACTCTGCAGCAGCTGGAACCGCCACGTTTGTGGAGTTCAAGGGGATGGTCACAAACGTGTTCAGAAACAGCACAGTCATGCTTCAGCCCAACATCCTACTAGCGGTCACCGCTAACGAGAAAATTCTGCGCGTGCAAATACAGCCGGCGGTCCCCAAGCACACGACCACCTCCAGCCCTGCCCCACGACTCCGGAGCAAGACCCCGGCCCTCAGGGCGGGCAGCCAGCGATGCTCTCGCTGTCCCGGGGGCCGGCGCGGCATCGGCAGGGCGAGGGCAGCCAGGGCCCCCGGCGGCCGGGGCCGGGCAGGGGCGCG